AGAAAATTACAAATATGCAATTTGGCATTGGATCTACAAAATTAATATCAATTAAAATGAGAAGTAATTAGTAAATACTGCGAAGAACTGGACCAAAAGGAAGCAAACCATGTTCTTGAAAAAAACAAGAATCACAATAAACAGGAAATTCACGAACATGAAGACTTAATAATGACTCCACTGTCCACACCTATCCATTTTCCTTCCTTTGCCATACCTGTAAGTTACAAATTTGGTGGCAGCTCTAAATTCGAGATCCAGTCTGAGATTGCATGGGTTTGAGCAACACTAACACCAGTCCTTGGTAGGCCAGTTCATTAAGGAATTCCCAATTCAATGCAATTAATGCGTCACAAATACTGAAGAATATTGGCATACTTACGATTTCGAAGTCTGGATTGTAACTCTCTTTCAGCCTCCAATTACTCTGAATTACCAATGCAGCAAAGAGCAGCCATTCTTCGTACAGTCCCATGGCTGGTCTTCTTGTGATCCACAAAGTACTCTTTCTCGTTTAGGATTACCATGTCGTCCACTTTCAGTTGGAGATCATTGTCTCGTGGTTGTTCCTTCAGAAATTGCACAATTAATTCCTTCATCAGCTCAGATGTCTCTTGCAGATTTCATGTCTTCCCCAAATTCATTGCTCTTCAATACACAACTGAAGGATATGTTTTCGAATCTTCCTAATTGCGTCAATATACAGTAGGTTGGGCAAATAAGTCACTACCTTAAGATGGTCATTATTATTAGAGCTGACAGCTGCAGAGGTTATTTCAAAATGTTGAGTCTTGCTTAAATAAATGAAAATTGGAAGCAGTAGAGTCAAATAACGGATTCTGGAAATTGGACCTAAATGATCCAGAGAATAAAGACCACACATATAATTGGTCTTGTTTCATTTAATTCCATATTCTGGTGTGGGATAGACTTACCTCCTCGTGGTGCACCCTGGGCAACGTATACTCATACAGCAAAAAATCTATTAACCGGCAGTTGACTTCTCACTTCGAACAACCCTCTATTAACCGGCAGTTGACTTCTCACTTCGAACAACCATCACCCCACTGTGTGCCATATTCTACCACTGTCACAGTACTCACATCACATTTTCTCTGCCATTGTGTCTGCCTGTTTCTTTTACATCTGTGAATCGCTCTTCTATTCCTCCTTCCGAATTCTTCCAATTTTGACGTTCCTCCTCCCATCTGTGAAGCTCGAACTCAACTAAAGTACTAATTATAGCTATCAAAACGCCTGCTATTTGATATAAATAAACTTTCGATTTATTTTATTACCCAGAGTGTTGAAATTCTAGTTAAATAATTTGTCACATGAATTATCAACGAATTCTTTCCATGACCCCTATGGCTTTTGACCAATTTATTAAGTGGAGTGTTTGACATCGTCATTTCAATTGTTTTTTTTCAATGGCGTGAAATTAATTCGATACTTTGCATATGTTAACACTGTTCCATATTCTTAAATTCGGGAGCATGAATACGAGACTATCTAATCACAAGAACAATATTATTTTTTGCCAATTTTTTATCAACGAAGTCAATTCAGATTCACCTCGAGAGTAAGAAACCATGAAATCAGTTTACATTTTTCTTAATTCAAATATTTTGAGCATATATGGATGTGATATTTGAGTGTTAATCAGAAGGCGTTAATATAAATCTGGTTAACTTTCAGCTCACCCAACGAAAAGGACATCGTTGCTTCCCTCCCACAGCCGTCTCCGGGTTATGTACCTGAGTATTTCTTTGCCGCATCATTGGCTGAATCGCCATTTCAGGATGCGTTTTGAGGCATCCATTGCGAACCAGACCATGACATATCATATTTCGGAAGTTGTAAAAATGTCGCTTTCTATTTTGAGAATGTTAAGTTGTGAATTCGACATTTTATGAAATAGGCGTTTATTATTTCGTTATATTTCCATAAAGACGCAATTTGAAAAGAATGCATTCCGAGAAGAGTGCATGAAATCTAAAAGATCATTTTGCGCATCACTATGGATGGGCAATTAGGCAAAGTTTCATCATCGTTAGGACATTGCATCTCATTGAAATGAGCAAAGAATTGTTGTAAAATTAGATAAACTGAAAAATAAAAAAGAGGAAGGCTCAAATATAAAAGTTTTGATATCAAAGAAAATTTTGCTCAATGTCTCAATGTCAAATCGAAAAGCCAACTACACTAGTTACACTTACAAGGGGCTTTGTGCTTTGTGTGCTCTCCTTTGTCTGGTATAGGTTTAGAAATACCCTTTTCTAAGTGTTGATGGGCATTACCTAAATTGAGAAAGTTGTGATTCTGTAATTTTTACTAAAATGGATAAATGTGATTCATAATTTACATAAATATAATTACAAGATGTTATGGATATGGTTTTAGATAATTATATTTATTATTTGGTGATAACGTGATAATGCTCTGTTTGTACGATGAAGTGTGAGTGCTACCTATCATCATTAACCCACCAAAGAGAGATTCTAATTTACTTGAAATCTGTCTAAATATAGGCCAGTGAGTAATGGGGATAAAAAGCCATATACACAAGGCGATTCGTGTGGCTCGTGCCCAGATTCGTGTGACGGCAAACTGTGCACTGCTAAACCTGCAGATGAGACAACAACATCTTCATCTACTTGGACCTCTGTTTCGGGAGTTCTCGTCATGATGGCTTTAATAATTGGAAACAACTTTTATTAGAATTCGATTCAACTTCCATTTGCCTAATATTTGACATTTGTAATCAGTATGAAGTGAGATGCCAACACTTGAAGGAAAAAGAATCTAATTAAATTAATGTTTTTTTCAAAATTGTAATAAAGTGGACAATTAAGGATACTTTAAATTCCAACGACGTCAACACGCAATATGGGTAATTGTTTCCAGTACTTGTATTTCTGTCCGGAAATATTTTCTGGTTTGAAGGCTAACTTTCGTGCATAAAATTGCATGAAATATGTTTTGCGAGTTAAGAAATTTTTCATATTAAACGAAAGGGGAAACCTGAAGTAGATACTAATGACATCAGCAGAAATCATCTACATATTCGGTTGTCTTCTCTTACTTCTGTACACATCCTCTTCCTCAGGTAGTGGTTTCGCACTCATTGCTGGTGACTCAATCATTCTCTGTTGCAGTATTCACATGAATAAGCAGGGGATCCAAATTTAATATCAATTCAAATTTGTGTCTAGTAGATGATTGATATTTCCAATTCTTTAAATTATCTGGCCACATTACACTTACATAGTACATAGTATATTTGGTCAGTACAATGAAAAGGCTCATTCGAACTATTGAAATTTAACCGACACGAATGTAAAGTAATGTGATCCCATTCTCAATTATATTCCTTTTTCGTTTCGTCTTATTACTACTAATGTGAGATTTAACAGAGACAATTATTTTTCATATGAAAAAAATGTAAACATTTCGTCACTTGGTTAATTTGTGGAAGAGCTACCAAAGTTCTTGAAAGAGCAATTGCCATTGTCAACTTCCAACTACCTGTCACATTTTAATCCCACTTCAATGCAAATGGAACTTTATTTACTTAAGTGGAATAAGTAGCAAATATTGAAGAGAGGTTGGTCAGTGTGCCCTGCAAATATTCATGTAACCTATCTTGCACTAAACTTGATTTCGCCGAATCACGAGACATTTCAGAAAGGTCGATTCAGGTGTTAACGAAACATTTTACCATGCGTGAATTGGTTTTTTTGTAAATGAGGAAAAATAATATATATATATATTTATACAGGACCAAAAATATTGAGAAACAAATGGGCTCGAATGGGTAGTGAATTATCAAAGCACACGATGAAAAATTATACAAAATGACTAGAAATTTAATGTACAAATGTTTTTTTCAATTATTGACGTCAATGCCATTACAACACATTCGTTCTGACTGACTAAATTGGATGAACGTCAACTCTTGCTGACCTTAATCAGGTGCTTCATAATTTAAGCAAAAGATGACTCTGGAAGCCATTATATTAAATGCTCTCACAAGAACGAATTCGCCATAGATGCCATCAACTTCGGTCAAATAATTCCTAACAATTGTATTACAAGCACCGAAATCGTAAGCATTTTGACAGTATTTCTAAAGAAAATTTTTATTCACAGCCAAATAGTGATTAAACACGCCATTAGAACTAAATTTTACTAACAGCACAGGCACACCTACAGAAAGTGGTCATCCTTCAAACAGGCATAGTCTTATTGAGTGGAGAAGTTTTGTCATATGAAGTCTTTCATACATCTCCACGCAGTTATTCAAGTTGTACACTGTCCAAGACTACGTTTCAATAATTACTCTCGGACGTACTATGCAAATTTGGCATATTAGTCTATTAAAAGCAGGACGTGCACACGTAAATTACATATCCTTATATTACCAATTAACTGAAGGCGAATTGTGCAAATGATCAAATAAACGAAATATTCGATTTAAAACATCATTAGAAATTTCACAATATAATTGCAAATTAATTGCCAATATTATTCAAAATACCATTGAAATACTGACTAAAAGCCAAGTTAATTAAATCATAAAGAAATGAATTTCACTTGCTTGCTATCATGGATAAATAACTAATGTTAGTTCAGAAGCAATTAGAATTGGCATTAACCACTACCACCCATCCTCGTATAATTGACGAAATGAGCCGATAGCTTTGATGTTGGTTCGACTTGCTCAAAATAACGTGTTAGGCATTTTCCAACTGTGAATTCCAACGAATTACTCTTTCGCATTGAGGGTATATCTTTGATATGGTGCCACCACAATTCAACTTACAGCTAGCCATATACAGTCTCCATTCACGTAATCATTTCTAAGACTCAATATGCCATGCCAATTTTGGGCTAAAGTAATTTAAATGTCACCCATGCTAATTCAAATCGAATTCATTGAAAGGAGGGCGGTTAGAGATGAAGAGAGTGCTATGTTACTTTTCATTGAATGGATATTTGTTAATTATTTAATCTGTGTTTTGTTAAACATTCTTCAAATCGCTAACTACTACTTAGGCAATTATTTTGTATATTAATTTCACGGTTTTTAATCAAATTTTTCGACAGCTCTTCATTCTAGATGAATAGTCAATTTAATAAAACAATTCACTTAATTTAATGCCAAAGTGTGTTGCATATGAAATGTTTGGGTGGCTTTAAGGAAAATGGACTTAATGGAAATGAAATGATTGGTTGCCCAGACTGCAGAGAGCGAATAACTTGAATTTTACATCTCGTTCCTTACTCAAAATGCTTTGTACTTAATGTTTTTGATCGCACAGCAAAGAGAGAGAACCAGTTCTGCTCTACTCATACAACTAATTGATTTACCGCATCTATTAATTCACCCCCATATCAAGTTCCTTCTCAATGGGGTTAAACAGATTGCAAATTTTGATTAGGAAATAGAGTCTGATTTCAAATCGAAATTGCATTATATTCGCCTGTCCGTCTGGCTATTGAAGCACAAGCATTCCATCGAATTTGATAAATGGAATAATTCAGAAGAAATGTGGCATTACTTTTGATTAATTTTAATTGGTTTAGGTCATTTAAA